TCCTCTCATTGAGACGAATCTAATGGTACCAAATTTATCTAATTTGGATTACTGGGTCACAAGATAATCAAGATTTTATAAAATTTATATATAAATATACAGATTTTTAATTTTTTTTATATAGTCTAGGGGGTCAAGAGTTACTATATAGAGGTATATAACATTATTTATGGATGCCCTCTAAGCTTCTAGGCTATATAAATTTAGAGAACTGCAAATATAGAAGCCTGCTTAGCAAGTTTTAAGTAGAGAATAGCACAAATTTTTAATAGAACTAATGTAAAGATTAGACCTAGAAAATAAAATCTATATAAATTGAATCAGATAAAAGATAAGATATTAGAATACACCTATATTAATTAGATTACTACAAATAGAAAAGAAAATTAGAATTTAGCTATAGAGCTCTTGAAATTACAAGCATATCATGATGATAGTAAAAGATCTACTAACTACTCTTTGGGATATTTTGCTTAGATATAAAGAAAAAATATCTAATTACTAGATTATCTACAGTAGTTTGGAAGTCTAATAACAAGGTTAGAGCCCTGCTATTAGATGAATAGGTGAAATCACCAATACCAACTAGGCTACTATCAAATTGAAGACAAATAAGTGATATATATTAGACTATTTAGATTAGAAATCTAAGTAAAGAGAGCAAGATTACTAAAATACTAGAGATATACTATAAAATAAATTTTGGGTTTAAGTAAACTTTATAAGAATATAAGTAGATTTGAGTAGCAAAGTTCAGCTAAACTGGGGTTAAAACATAGTTGAAAGCAGGAGAAAGTTTAAAACTATGAGAAAAACTATAGACAAGAATTTTAATCTATATTATATATATTTTCAAAATAGATAAAACTAAGCTACAAGTGGTGAGCTATAGTTTATATATATTAAACTGAAGTGCAAACTAGAAGTGGTAAGAGTGAGAATACTGCAAGCTTTGCCAGGTTTACCTCAAAGATAAAGAATCAGAAATAGATTAATAAAAAAATAAAGGTCTGTTTTAAAATCCTAAATTATTATATGAATGTATACCAAAAAGACTAGTTTATAGAACCAAAAGAATAGTTGCTGATTGATATAGACCTCAGAGTATATAGGTGTAGAAGATTGAGATATGTAATCCTCTAGTTAGGTTGCAAATACAGCAACTAGTGTAGAATCTAATAAAAGGCAAACTGTTTAAATAGATACTCAAAAGGTATAGGTATAACTAGATATATTCTCCAAGTATATATAATAATTATTTTAATACAATAAAATATACTTGACCAAGAGGTTACTTTAACACTAAAAAAAAAGCAATTGTATAGAAATATTTTGATTGACTATTAAAACTATAGTATAATTATATAATCTATAATATAATATAAAACAGGGTAGATAAACAATAGGAGATAAATACTATAAGATAAACACTATGATATAAGACAAACTATATGAGACAAAAACACTCTGTGATTGGTGCTTTTTGTTTTTGTTACACAGATCTGAATAGGATATGTAGATAAACAGCACTGTATAGAATATAATCTGTAAGCGGTATTACATAGATCATATAGAACTTGCAAATATATTATACTGTACTAAAAATCTATACTATACTGAACTATCTAATTAATTTAATAAATTTAATACCGTGCTCAACAGCACGGGTATTTGCTAGTCTTAAATAATACAAGATTATATAAGAGTATACTTTAAATTATATAAAAAAGTTATACAAGTAAATAACACAAATTTATCTTTTTTTTCTATATAAACAGAAAGAAAGAATGAAAGAAAGATATTTTTTTATCTACATGAATCTCTAATTTTTTTTACACAAGTTCTAAGTATTTTAAATATAGTATATTATATAATAAAATTATCTAGTTTTTCTTTACAAGCTATAATAAATATAAATATAATAAGTAATATTTATAGTATATTTTCCTATTTCACTCAGTACAATCATCTATTTTATAGTACACATAGCCTAAAGATATCAAATAATATATAACTGCTAAAATTTTATATATATGTATAATATACAAATCTACAAATACTATTAGCTAATAAATATCTTAGTGTTTTTTCTAGAGAATTGCTTTAGCATAAGTGCAATAGACTAATAATCTTCTCATTTTTTTTTGAGGTTTCATTACATATATCTTTTTTCTTTTTTTAAGAACTCAAAAATATGGTATTTTTTAAGGTCTTTTCCTTTTTTTGAGATCTTGGTTTTTTTTTCTGAGGCCTTGACTTTTTTCTTTGTTAGTTTTTTTTTTTGAGATCTCAGATTTTTTTTTTTAAGGTCTCAAATTTTTTTTAAAGTTAGATTCTTTTTCAAACCCGTTTCTAATTACCAAAAAAGAAATACTTTATAAAAAACTACCAGTCTTTATAAAAAAATTGTTTTTTTTAAAAAAAAAGTTTATTGTTATATGCTATTTTCTTATATGACATTGCATAACCTTAACATAACATTTAAGTATATAATTCTATTTTTACTTCTCAATACCAAAACGAAATAAACATGGTCAATACTGTACTAAAGCTATTAACAAGCAGTAGAAAAAAATAATAATAATGAAATATCAGATTATATCAGATTATAAATCTGATAATAAAATATCAGATTATAAATCTGATAATGCCAGAAATAAACCTTTTTTAGAAGCATTGCAAAGTCTAAGACCAGAAGTATTTGAAAAGCTTATTAAGAGTGTCAGAAGACTGAATATATAGAAAATAAAGAGACGAAAACCAACTTACACAGGTTTTGTCTTATCAACTTTACAAAATAAAAAAGCAACATGAAGAAAAGCAGTATCTGGATCAAAAAAAATAACTGATTGGCTTTTAACTGATAATAACCAATTACTTCAAAATAAGCAAGAACTTTTATTTGATGAGGATACTGAATTTTTGTCTAATAAGTATGAGAAACTATCGTCTAATGAGAATATTAAATTTTATCTGATAAGGATAATAAGCTTTCATCTGATGAAGATAATAAGCTTTTGTCTAATAAGGATAATAAACATTCATTTTATATGAATAATGATGAAGTCAATGATATAAACAATTGCAATGAACTGTATAATGAACTTTCATATAAAGAAGTAATTGATTCTAGTGATGAAGATGAAGATAATGAGTTTAGCTTAGAAGTACTTGATTCAAATGATAAAAATAAAGATAATGAGTTTAGTTTAGAAGCACTTGATTCATTATTAAAAGAAAATCTTTCTGATATTAGACTTTGTACAGTTAGTCAATTTTTTTACTTAGTTGAAGACCATGGGTATACTAAAATATTAGCTAGTGAGCTTCTTGCTCATAGTGTTAATAAGGATTCATAGCATACTCGAGTTATTCACACATAAGCTAAACAGTGGCTAAGTAAAGATGAAATTCTTACATCGAGTTGTGGGTATCATGTAAAAACAAAATCATTACTGTCTTATGAAGACTTTAAATCAAACATTACACAATATTTGCATGCAAATAAATTTAAAATAATCTCTAAGAGATTTGTAAAGTTTGTGAAAGATGAAGCTATCTCTGCTTTAGGAATTGAAGAAAAAAAAACTATCTCTATTAGAATAGCCCAAATATAGTTGCACAGTTTCAGTTGGGATTATAAGGGTCACTCAAAAACATTTATTATGATGGGTATAAGCATGATGATATTGTAAGGTACTGGCAACAATTTTTAGAACAAATGGCTAATTTGAAATCTTGAATGGTAGTCTTATAAAAAAGATAATATGAATCAAGTTATTCCATCAAGACTACCACCAAATTTTCCAGAAATTGTCCTAGTTACTCATGACAAATCAATTTTTTATGCTAATGATGATATTAAAAAGGTTTGGAGACCTGTAGACAAAGACCTAATTTGACAAAAGTTCTAAAGTTCTAGTATATATATAAGTGAATTTATTTGTGAGACAATTAGTTGGCTTTGTCTTTCACAAAAAGAAAAAGAAGCAAATGATTCACTTCTTGATAATAAATGCCTTTTTTATATTAATACATGTGTCATTGTTTACCCGGGTATTAACTGAGATGGCTAGTAGAATAATGAAGATATCATAAAACAAGTATCTAAAAGAGCTATTCCAATATTCGAAAGAACTCACCTCAGAAAAGTTGCACTTTTTATGTTTGACAATAGTTGTAACCACAATTCATTTGCTGAAGATGTATTGTTAGTTTCTCAGATGAATATAAAAGATAGAGAGAAAAGACTGCTTCTTCGTAATAGCAGAATGTCTAATAGTTCTATTTATATTATGATAGTTGTAAATCAAGATAATAAAATAAAGCCAAAAGATATCAAATGTGTTTTTTAAGATCGTGGTTTGTGGATGCTGGGTTTAACAAGAGAATGCAATGAATGTAAAGCAGGTGCTTTGACTAATCTACAATGTTGTGCAACAAATATTCTTAAAAGACAGCCTGATTTTGCATCACAAAAAAACCATTTACAAGAGATTATTGAGGCAGCTGGTCATCTTTGCATTTTTTACCCAAAGTATCATTGTGAGCTCAATTATATTGAGTCTTTTTGGGAGCAGCAAAACAATATGCATATTTATATTGCAATTATTCTTTTAAAGGTCTTAAAAAAACTGTTTCTCATGTATTAGAATTCGTTAGTCTTACTAAAATTCACTGTTTTGCATATCAATTTGGTTAATATATAAGTGCTTATGAGCATGGTCTATCTGGAAAAGCTGCAGTTTTTGCTATAAAAAAATATCAATCTCATCGTTGGGTACCAGAAAGTGTGTTAGAAGAATTTGGTCATATAAATTAGAGTTAAATTGTATTAGATGTAGAAAGTTTATTAGTTTTAAAAATTATATGCATTGTAATAAACATGAAATATGACTAATTCAAAATAATAAATATTTTTCAGTATCTCAATATGCAAAAAGAAAAAGGTTTATTATTTTTATTATCAAACTTGATAAGGTATTTTATTAAAATTACTTATACAAATTAAAAATTTTTTAATAAACTTTATATAAAGCAATAAATATTTATATTTTTGAATAAAGGCATGTTGTAATAATTGAACATTCTGATCAGTGACCCAGAAAAATTTTAAAGTTAACAGGTCTTTGATCTTGATATTCAAAAATTATATTGAATAAAATCGGCTAATCAATATATTGTATAGTTATCACATAATCAAATCATAGCCAATTAAAACATTCTACGTAATAATTGTCACTGCTAAAATTTTTAAAAATATTATTAAAAATACCTTTTGTAAAATTCTAACTACTCAATAATTTATTAATAAATTATAAAATAAAAAATACATAAATTTATAGAGCTTACTAAATACTACTTAACTATGTATTTATTTTCTTTGTTACTAGTTAAAATATGATGCTTTTATAGTTTAAATTTTTGGATGTTTTTAGACTACGTATACTATATTTAATTGGTGATTTGCTAGTTAACTAGTGAGAGATCATAGTATAATATGATACAGTTTATATATTTGCCAAGTATTACTTTTTTACTGTATATTGTGTATTCTTTCTTTAAATAAAAAAATATATAAAGTATCTTTTTTTTTTTCTATCAATTTTTAAGTTTCTATACTTCACTTTAGACTTTGTTTTTCTTATATCTTTCTTACTGTAAATTTTTAAAATAACAGGCAGAAGTGTTAATTTGAAAATTGTGCCCTCTAAAAATAGTATAAGTGGTTTCAAAATAACACTTATATGTGTCCTGAAATAATACACATCTAATAGTAAAGGGTAGTAAATTTAAAAAATATACTAGAACTAAGTTTGGTACTATATAAATCTACTTTTGAGCTTTAATAAAGTTGTTTTTCAGATCAAGATAGTTCTAATTATACTTGTTAGCAAAATCTAGACAAATCCCAAATCTCAAAAATACAATTGCTATTTATAAAAAATTGAATCAAAAAAATAAATTTAAAATTTTGCAAATAGATTATATATAGCTATAAATATTTATATAATTTGTTTAAATGAAGATTATTTATAAAGTTTTTAAGATATAAGTTTGGCCAGAGTTTGGAATTTGGGACGCCCAATCTTAAACTATAATAGTTTGGGATTTTGCCAACATGTATAGTTCTAATAGTATTAAGTTTATTAGTATATTGTTCACAATAGCTTCTTAAAGTTTTGCAACTTATGTAAACAAAAATAAACAAATATTGCAAAACTTTGAAAAACTATTGCGAACAATATACTGGGCTATTTTTAATAAACTTTAATTAAAGCCTGAAAGTAGATTTACTTAGCACCTAATTTTAGAGCATTTTTATTTATTTACTTTTTATATAAAAAATATATATATTTGTTTTAAAATAATATCTATGCATATACTCAAAATAATATATACATATTTAAAATAATATGCAGATACTCGTTATTTTGAGAATTTACAGTATCTTGTAAATATAATATTCTTTTACTAGGATAATTTCTATAGATAAGACTATTACTATATTTTTGTATAAAATTAAGTTATTCTATATACTGTTACTATCTCAAACTATTTGTCTCCTATTATATAATTAAGTAAAAAACTATACTTTCATCTTGTATATATCTGCAAAAGTTAATTATTATACTGGATAATCTTGTTG